AGTTAACTTCTAAAACCTTTCATTTCTCCCCAGTGATCAGTTGTCTTTGATGAAATCTCCAGACCACACTTGAAGGTTTATGCTAATGAGGTGACTCAAGTGGGAGAAAGACCACTTCCGGACCTGGGGGTGGAGGTGGGGGTAGGGGATATGATTCGATCAATCATGCCTACACTATGACGTTCCAATAAAAGCTCCATGAGCTTCCTGGCTGATAGACATCAATGTACGTGGGAGGACAACCTGTCCCCTTTTGAAACCTTTTTTGAGAGCGTTCCCAGATCACACCTTATGCATCTTCATTTGTATCCTATTTGCTGTAATAAAATTATAAGAGTATGCATAACCCTTCCTATGAATACTGTAAGTAAATTATAGAACTTGAGGGAGTAGTGAGCAGCAGATCAGAAGGGACCTGGGCTTCCAGCTGGTATCCTGAAGGGATAGAGAGAAACCCAAATTTGTAGCCAAATCAGAAGTGAAGGTCCCTGGGTGGCACAAAAGGTTTGCACAAGACTGCTAACATAAAGGTTGGTGGTTTGAACCTACCCAGCAACACTGCAGAAGGAAGTCCTGCCAATCTGCTTTCATAAAAATCACAGCCAATCAGGACCACAGTCACAGGGGACATCAAGCTCAATTGGCATAACATACTACACAAAACATTGTTCCACCTCCTACTTTGGTGAGTAGCAACTGGGATCTTAAAAGCTTGCAAGCAGCCATCTAGATGCAACGATGGGTCTCTCTTCGTCCATAGCAAAGAAGAATGAAGAAAATCAAAGATTCATGGAAACAATTAGTCCTCACGACTGGTACATCATGCCATCCTCAGCCTATATGACACAGATACATCCCTTGGAGAGAATAATCATGGGAGAAAGAATAATCATGGGAGAAAGAAGGGCTGTTTATGCACAGGGAGACAGTTCAGGGGCAGGAGTGCATGGAGGGATGGACACAGGGAAGAGGTAACTATTGGGAGGAAGTGGGAGGGGAGGTGTTGCACTGGGGTAAACTGTCAATGTCATCAGACAACATGTATGTGAACTGCTGTATGGAAAGTGAATTTGCTCTGTAAACTTTCACCCAAATCACAATTAAATAAAAAAAAAAGTCACAGCCAAGAAAATCCTATGGAGCACTTGTACTTGGTAATACACGGAGTTACCATGAGTCAGAATTGACTTGACAACCACCAGTTTGGGTTTTCTGGTTTAGGTCAGAAATGTAGACGCTGTGGATACCCTGAGGCTAGCATCTGAAGTCTTGGGGAGATGTGGCAGTCTGAAGGACTGTGCCCTTTATCTTGTGAAGTGTAACCTAGCTCTGAGTAGTCAAGAGTCAGAGGAAGAAGTGCTGCATGTGCACTGGTGAAAAAGCGAAAGTGGAACAATTAAATTGCATTGATTTTATTTCTATGCAGGAATAAATGTGATATATGATGTGTAACCTCTTTTATAGAAGCTATAAAACATTGCTGAAGTTCATAAAGGAAAATGTGAATAAACACAAGGTATATTTTCATGGGCAGAAACTCTATCATAAAGATGTCAGTTTCTTCAAACTGAGTCAAATCTGACTCATAGAGACCCAATTGGGTTTCCAAGGCTGTAAATCTTTACTGAAGTAGAACGTCCCATCTTCCTTCCGTGAAGCAGCTGGTTGAACTACTGACTTTCTGGTTAGCAGTCAAATGCCTTATTCACTAAGCTACCAGAGAGCCTTTATTTTAAAGCAGTATCAATTAAATAATGTGTTGTTATTAGCACAGGAAATTCAAACCCACCAGCCTCTCCTCAGAAGGAAGACTAGGCAATCTACTTCTGTAGTGATATTGCCTCGGAAAACCAGGGAGGAGCCCCTATGAGATGGATCTGACTCAATGGCGGTGAGTTTGGTTTGAGTTTATTAGCATAAGAAAACCAAACTCACTGTCACTGAGTGAATTCCGACTCATTGTGACCCCCTTTGGGTTTTCGAGGTGGTAAATCTTTAGAAAGTGCATTGTCCAATCTTCCTTCAGCAAAAGTGGCTGGTGGGTATGAACCGCACAGGAGTAAACATAAATCAGTGAAATAGACTAAAGAGCTCAGAACAGAGCCATGTATATATGGGACTTGATATACAGAAGTGATACTGCAGATCCATTGGGGAAGGATGGGCTGTCATACAAATCACTTTGGAGCAAATGGTTATTAATACAATGTTAATTACCAAGATCATCCCATACACAAAATCAGTCCTAAGCAGATTAAAGATTTAAATGTGAAAAGCGAAATTTTAAACCTTTTAGATGAATATAAAAGAATAAATTTTAACTAATGAATAGGGAAGAATTGTTATTCAAGTCACAAAAAGTAAAACCCATAAAGTTAAGTTTGGTAATACTTTTCAATCTAAAACTTAAGACGTATGTACAATGAAGGACACCATAAATACATGAAAAGACAAGCCACAGACTGGTAGAAGACTTTTCCATACAAATAAACTGACAAAGAATGGAAATCTATAATATATTACTTAAAACATTTGTAAATCAGTAAGAAAAGACAAATAATTCAATAGAAAAATAGTCAAGGACAAGTCACAAAACGCATGTCTTAAAAGACGTGATGAAAAAAAAAACAGATGCCATATGGGCAACACAGAATAAACAACAATAAAATTTCATAACCAAAGGACTGACAAAATTCAAAAGTCTGTCAAAGGCAAGAGGTGCTAGAGATATTGAAAACAGAAGTTTCCAGTACTATTGGTGGGATTATAAATTAATATAAGCATTTTGGAGAGCAACTTGGCAATTTCTAGATGAAACTGAAAATGTCTATATCACATTATGGAGCATAGCTTATCAAACTGCAGCTCATGTTGTAAAATCAAATGATTCTAGCGTTTTTTGTGTGTGTTTTAAGGAAATAGAAAAAAAAAATAAGAGTACAATGTATATATTAAGGTTAAGTACTATTTCATAAAATATTTGCTTCAGATAAATTAATATGCGTGTATGGTGGATACTACATTGGATTTAAAATGTTTCTTACTGCAGATTGTGGTCAAAATAGTTTGAAAGCCACTGTCCAAGAAATATTCTTGCACATGTGCACAAAGAGACATTTACAGGGATATTAACAAAAGCACACTGTACAAAGTGAAGAAATGGAAATCTAAATGTCCATCAGTAGGGAACTAGATATATAAAATGTGGTATATTCATAAAATAGAACTCTATACACCTTAGAGGAGTTCTGGTGGTATAGTGCCTAAGGCATCTGACTATTAACCAGAAGACTGGCAGTTCAAACCACCAGCCTCTCCCTGGAAGGAAGACTGGGCAATCTACTTGCAAAGAGATACTGCCTTGGACACTCAAGGAAGGGTCGTTATGAGTTGGATCCAACTTAACAGCAGTGAGTTTTTTCAGTTATACACGTTAGAATAAATGTTCTATATATCAATATGGTTAAATAATATAAATATGTTGAGTATAAAATACTAGATGCAGAAAATAACCTAACAGTATCATGTCATTTATAAAAGTTTTTAAAACCCAAAATGATTCTAATTAGTATTTATGGATACATGTATGTACTAAAATGGTAAAAACATGGACAGAAAGGATACCACCAACTTGTATTTTATCTACGGAATTGCCTCTATAGAACAAGGGAGAGGAATTGAATTAGGAAGGGCATAAAGGAAGACTTCCATTATATCAGAAATATTTCATTTCAAAAATATACAGCAAATAAAATTAAAATGTTAGTATTTACAAATTATAAATGACAATTATATAATTTTATTATGTTTTTTCCCTCTATTTTAACTTTTTACAAATTAAAGCAAAAGCAGCTTGATTCTCTAGCACAAAAAGCTGCTTTACAAAATTCTGAGAGAAAGCAAAAAAGGAAATAATTATAGATTATACAAACAGCCAAAAAACAGCTAGGTATTCAAAATGTCTCTAATGCTAAGATCAAACCTTCCGGCTCCAAAAGGCAACAGAGGGAGTTTTCTGTCCCAGCCACTTCTCTGCCTCTCTACCCTGTCTCCTCCTCCTACACTCAAGGAACCAACTCACTTTGAGTCACCCTACCACTAACCAGAAAGCTAAGCTCTTCCTTATGAAAACTCAAATAGGTTTGAATTCTGAAATCCCACCCCACCTTGAGCACTAACAAACGACCAGATTCTAGATGTTCTCAACAGCAGCCATAATTCTACAGTTCATAAGGCTTCTCTCCTCATAGGTTTTTTTGTTTTGTTTTTTTTATTTTTATTGTGATCTGGATGAAAGTTTACAGAACAAATTAATTTTCCATACAGCACCCCACACAGTTTGATTATGTGATTCTCAAAACAACCCTGCAACACCAATGTTACTAGTACCCATATTTATAAATAAAGCTGATGCCCAAAGTGGCTAATTACTAACCAGAGGTCACAGGTCAATGACAAAGTCTGGAGTACAACCTCTCAGCTCCGGAATCCAATCCCTTAAAGTGCCTTTGTGTATTTCAACCATACTATAACACACCCAAGAAAACAGGAGGTGTTGTTCACAACACATGAGCTATTTCAAACTAACCCCTTTTCTTCATTCTTCCATCCCTGATCTTTCTCTCCTCTCTTCTTCCTGAGAGGCAGCCAAGGGAAGGAACACTGCCACTATTAACTCTTCCCTTTCCTGTAGCCATTCATGTTTTTTTCCTTCAGCTGAAGAGGCAAAAAGGAAAAACAAGTATGAACACAGGGATCCCTGCACCAAAGAGAAAGGACATTTCACTGCTCTAGACTTAAGTCTCCTTCCATCTTCCAAGAATCAACGAGCAGGAAAGCACCAGAGAAAAGCCTACGCTACACTCTTTATCAGTGCTGACAAAGGTCCTTTACTGAAGGGCTTTAATTAACGGAAAAATGTAAAAGTACCAGTTTTTTAATCGGTCCCGGGCTTCCAACTGGGCTCCCACTTCAAAGCTGATTCCTCGTCTGTTAGGTGGATGCTTTGTCATTTTCAGTCATCAACGGGGCTGCCTTTATTCTCCTGAAAAAGCCAATTAAATATTTATGAAACTTAGGCAAAGTCTGCCCAGAGTGTAGCATCACTCACTACACATAAGACACAAACAGGTATTATTCAAAACACAAAGCTCCACGAAACCTTGCCATCGCCCTTTCACTCTGCCTTATTCTAACACAGGCGTGCATGCCTTCTACTGGTTCCTCCTCTATTATCCAGCATCCTTCAGTCTCTGTAATTGTGAGAAAATCCTACTTCAACACCGCTTACTAAGGACTCACCTGTAAGGGACCCCCTCAAAACTTCAAAGACAATTTCTCCAGTCAAATTCAATGATTTTCTAATGCTTTCGATAAATATTTTCTGAAATCTGTTTAAGGTCTAGCATTAGGAAAACAGTCAAGACCAAAAGAGATACAGCTCCTGCCCTCACAAAACCTTCAGTCTCTCAGGGGAAAACAAAAAATTTAGACAGATAAATGAAATAACTGCAAGTTGTAATTGCTACTTGAAGGATGCAAACAAAAGCTTAGAGAATCACTAACATCTGGCTCTACTTTAGGAAGAAAGAGATTTATTTTCTTTGATTTATGTATATTTTCTACTTCTTCTGGCATCAATTCTGACAGCTTACATTTTCCTAATTGTCCATTTTATCCAGATTTTCAATATTACTAGCAAAGAACAATACAAAATATTCTAACTCCATCCATTGCTTTTGAATCTTAAGTCACCTCTTTATTCTCAAGCCTGTCTTGTATATTTATGCTCCCTTTCTTTTATGTCTTATTTATCTTGTTGTTGAGAATATACACAACAAAACGTACACCAAATCAACAGTTTCTACATGTACAATTCAGAGACACTGATTACATTCTTCTAGTTGTACAACCATTCTCACCCTCCTTTTCTGAGTTGTTCCTCCCTTATTAACAATAGGAGGGTTTGCTATGAGTCTTTTGAGTTGTTCTTCTCTATTTGATCCTATATAGTTCTTAAAAGAGCATAATGATCAAAACCAAACCAAACCCACTGCCATCTAGTAGACTTTGACTCACAGCGACCTTTTAGAACAGAGTAGAACAGCCCTACAGGGTTCCCAAGGCTGTAAATCTTTACAGAAGCAGACTGCCTCAACTTTCTCCTGCGGAGTAGCTGGTAGGTACAAATCGCCGACCTTTTGGATAGCAGCCGATGGGCTTAACCAATGTGCCACCAGAGCTTCTACAATGATCAAGGCATACCTTGTTTACTAATCAAACTGAACCATCATTTGGTTTCAAGAAGACTTCAAGGGATATTTTTGGTTTAAGATTTAAAGATTATCTCAGGGCTATAATCTCAAGTGTTCATCCAACTTTCATACCTCCAGAAAGTCTAGAGTCTGTAAGAATTTGAAATGCTGTTCAACATTTTTCCCCTCTTGATCAGGCTCCTTCTATGGAATTTTTGATCAAAATGTTCAGTAATGGTAGCCAGGCACTATCCAACTCTTCTGGTCTCATGACAAAGAAGGTAGTTGTTCATGAAGGCAATTAGCCACACATTCCATGTTGTTGTTGTTGTTGTTGTTGTTGTTGTTATGGGCTGTCAAGTCAGACACAACTCATAGCAACCCCCTCCTTGGGTTCCGAGGCGGTATCACTATGGAACTAGATTGCCCAACCTTCCTTCCGAGGAGTGAGTGGCTGGTGGGTTTGAACCACCAGCCTTCTGGTTAGCAATCTAGTGCCATAGGCACTATGTTACCATTTCCTCCTCCTATTCCTGACTCTCCTTTTTCCTCTGCTGTTACAAGTAATGAGACCAACTGTTGTGCCCTGGATGACTCCTTACTTTAAGGCCCCAGGCACTATGCAAGGAACTAGGAGGTAGAACATAAGCACTAAACTCATTATCTGGCCAGTTAACTGGGATAGCCCATGAAATCATGACCCTAAACCTTCAAACCAAGGAATCAAATCCAATGAGGTGTTTTGTTGTCCACAAGCAGTCTCAGAAGCTACTCTTTTTTCCAGATTATTGTAAATGTATCTATCACACAATTTTTGCCAATTCAACTTTTTACAGGTGTACAACATAATGACAGCAATTACAATAATCTTTTTTTTTCTTTATCAAGCCTTTGGATACTGAAATTGGCAGTGATTTTCTAAATAAGTAAAATCTATCTCTATGATCAGAATTAAAGAGTAAAGCAATTTTGCTTTTAAGGATGAAAAAAAAAAAATGTATTCAATGAGGCCATTTATCTAAAAAGTAGCCCACACAAAAGACCAACTCCCAGAATCACTGAGGTAATCTATGAAGATCCAAATCAATCAAAGGGGATAGTGGTAGTTCCGATGGAGATAGAGCCCTTCTGAGTTGTTGGGGCACTCAGCAGGCCACTTCTTACAGCAAGCTACCCCAGACTAACTTCTGCCTTTCCACTAAACTCTTGGACTTCCCAAACAATGCCAGAGCAGATCCAGGGCAATGCATGACACAAACTAGAAGAATAGTTTTACAATGAATATGGAAAAATCACAAACATGGGTCCTCACATCTGATGTGTAATAGCATATCTTATAGAAAATGTGCTTGAAATATTTTATGTAAAAAAAGAAAGATGCAAAATTACACCACTTTGAGCTCACAAAATTCATGAGCATTAAAAAAAAAGATAATGATAAAACAGGTGTAGATAATTGTTAAGAGCCTTGATGACACAGTGGTTAAGTGCTCAGCTGCCAACTGAAAGGTCAGCAGCTAGAACCTACCAGCCTCTCCAAGAGAGAACAATATGGCAGTCTGCTTCTATAAAAATTATAGCCTTAAAGCACTGATCTATAGGTGGATAGGCTGAATGATCGAGTATGTCTAGGCAGGGGGGGAATATGCCCATGACTATGTATAGGATTGGCAGACAATGTTTCTACATGCATATTTGTATGTGCTATGAGAATGTCCAGGTGTACAGTAGAGCTAACAAGGGGCAAGGTTGTGGTGGCTTCCTGGCCACAGCCAGCCTACCGTGAGGAACCAAGCAGTTGGACCTATGGACTTGGGACCATGGTCACAGGGGACATCGAGCTCAACTGGCATAACATATTACACAAAAACACTGCTTTACATCTGACTTTGGTGAGTAGCAACTGGAGTCTTAAAAGCTTATGGGTGGTCCTGGCCCAGACGGTTTCACTGGAGAATTCTATAAAACATTCAGAGAAGAAGTGATACCGATCCTACTCAAAGTATTCCAAAA